GGCACTGAATCACGTCTTTTATTGGACAATATTGCGTTAAGATTGTCACAGACAGCTAATGCTATCTTTTTCAAAATATCTCACAGGCTACTTTCAAGGAATATTATCAACGATATTGCAGAACGAGCATTAGATCATTTGGCAAATCTAATGGTTTTGTAAGTAGTACATCTAATCACACCTGTGGATACCCTTACCAATACATAACGCACAGACAATCATATGCTATCTACATACGAGTGAAAATAGTATATACGATCAGTAGAAATTTAGCTGTGTTTATAAATAAATAAATAAATAAATAAATACAATGTTCATATTTTACAGGGATTTGGAGGCTAATAAGCTGAAAACACTTCCCGAGAGTGTGTTTTCCTTTCTTAATAATCTTGTTGACTTGTAAGTAAAACTTGCGTTCATCTTTTTATGGTACCACACGCACTATACAAAACAGACATAATATATATAACTATCACACGCAAGTACTTTATTTATTTCCGTTGTATATCATTGAAACCAGTGTCTAAGAAGACGGGACTTTTTTCACCTTGTTCCAAGTTCTAAATAAAACAGAAAAATAGTCTTATTTGACTTCAAACTTGGTTATAGAAAATTTAAAAACTTTTACTTGTTGTGTATATTAGCATCTAATTTGGTGATTGGACTAAAACATTGCGTCCAATCTCCAGAAACGCGTCGTGTTTGTATGACTTCTCATCGAATATAACAGTAACTCGAGCCCAAATGGTATACATTCTCACCACTCACCAGAAAAACGGTGCCTATGTTACTAGACGGTACCATTTTTCCAGAGCGAGGATCGACGTCTCGCTGAAAGCATATCGTTTACATGTCAGGCTGATAAAATAGACGAACGAGAATTATTGTAACGGATGCACTCCACAAACAATATTATTGAATCAACAATTTACACCAAGTTCTGTGTATAATGTTACTGTCCACATGAAATCTAAGTCATATATAATTAAATATACAGAATACTATTTTTGCGATACTTGTAACGTAAGAGCCGTACCACTACCTGCATTCGACTGACAGTAAGAAAAAAGAAGAAAGAAATGCATCACCGAATCATGTTTAAAAAAACTTTGGACCATAATAAAATGTTTGGGTCTAAGGTATACAATATATTCTATACTAACTGTACAATAATAACTACCCATATATAATTTGCATATATAATACCCATATTATAGCTTTATAATAATGTACACATATCAAGCAAACAAAATCGATTTAACATCTAACCAACTAAAATTGAACAGTTGTTTTTTGTGGGATTTATTTTTCCAATGATGTGATTTATTGAATTACTCGCCATGGGAAACATCTTAGTCAATAGTGCATATTGATTTCAATGTTTTTGTGGTAAAATGTCTCTTTATTTGGAATCATACATAGACAAAGTTCGATTACTTTAATCAATTTAATATTAATATAAAATTAAAACTGTGTATCAAAAGCTTTTGACAAAGCAATTATAATTCAATCTACCCTGTCTTGTAACATTTTCAAATGTGTCATTCATTCAGTTTGCTGGATTGACAAGGGTAAATAAAAGAAATGGCTATTCTCCAGAGAAAAAAATAGATTATTAATATTGATATCCGAGTTTATTGCGAGCCAATCCAATCAATAGATTTCCATTTAATCTATAATTTACGTGGTTGCATAATTGTTGGCGATACTTTCAACACACAACAAGAATGATGTGAATTTCTGTTTAGTAGTCGTGATTATCTGCAAATTGAATATAGAAATATGATATTATCAGCTGCTTGAAGTAGATTAAATCTGTATCTTTTGTTTTAGGGACTTGTCAAAGAATGACCTCGGTACATTACCTATTTATATCTTCAAGAACTTGAATAAACTGCAAAAAATGTAAGTAATGTGTCACAATAGAACATACGTTTCAGTTGTGAGGGGAATTACACTTTTTTTCTGGGAAATGAATGACTATGTTGTAACACTGTGAATTAGTCAGTCAGTCTTGATATTAATTGACTCATATATAGGAATTGAATTGAATCGTGAAACGGAAATACAATTTGTATTTTTATTCGCAGGGACTTGTCGGGAAATGAAATACGGCTGATACAGAGTGAGCTTTTTCTTGGCCAAGGCTCGCTTGACGTTCTGTAAGTTATTGCTTTTTATTGCTTTAAATGTTTCGAGTAGCAAATACAATTACTGCCAACTCCTGTAACTTATATGTTTAATTTATTTCAGGCATTTAGGATGGAATCGGCCGCTAGAAATTTCCGAGCATGCGTTCAGTGCACTCCGTAATCTGACTCGCATGTGAGTATTACACGACACATAGTTGAATCGCTGATAATTTTATTTCAACGCGTAGTGTATTTTATAATGTCGAGTTTCGCTCTCTCGTGTTGTTGTTTAACAATCATCTACAATTACACCGATGTCAACGTTAATGCCAGCATAAATACAGTGGTCAGCAAAAAATAACTATTCAAAAATGATACGAGTACAAAACTAAAAATGTGTGAAGCCCATATTTGAGTATGCAGTGGATGATGTAACAGATTCAATTATCCGTATTTGCTTTGTACGTTATTGACGTCCACATCTTCTCTACGTCTTGAAATATATATTCACTCTGTAATATATATTTTATACGGAGTGTCCTGGGAATTCCGTGATTTAACCGTTACTATACATAAGTAATGCATTCGCACGAATTTAACGTTGTCATTTTACAAAACACAAAATTAATTCCGACAAGATGAAGTCATGGGCTCAATATTACCTTTTTTACAGGAGGTTACTGGACAATGGTCTATCCCATTTAAGAAGCGGAATGTTTCGAAATCTAAATAGGTTGAAAGAACTGTAAGTTTGTATACAATATACAATGTATGATATACCAAATTGATTATGCATAATTGGGCTTGAATGGAATGACCGGATGTAAAGTAAAACCACTGAATGGAATGCGGGGATAAAATATGTTTCAGTCACGTGGCCCTTGAAAGTGAATAGCTAAAGATAATAGTGAATCAGTAGATTTCGATAGCCCATTCATATAAAACTGAAAACATTCAGACTTTTTAGTTATATATGGCGATTCTCATAATACCGCAATTCATTGCGGCAAACAATTTCAAGTTCAATGTAGCGGGTGATTTTGATTACATTTGAGCGACTAATTTGTTTTCACAAATCGGTGGTTCAATGGTTGTACAACGTCTGTTGATGCTCTTTAACAAAATACTCGCTCTATTGATTTTTTTACAGAGATCTGGAACGAAATCAAATACTGTCCATTAAGAAATACGATTTGCAAGGACTGACAGACCTAAGTCATTTGTGAGTACTAGCGTTGGTATAATTTTAGCTTATATAAGTACAGGACTTTCTAGGAATTACTAATGTTTTTAATGTGTGCGTGTAACACGAAAGCGTCACTGGCATGCCACCATATTCTTCATTTATGTTCGAACCGTTCCGCACACTGCACATACTTTGCTACGTGACTGTGTGACTAGCAATTTAAAGGTAGAATAATACTCGCGCGTGATTTCATGTGTGCGCATATGGGTGTGGCAATATTTCATGTCATCTCTAATCATCGGGTTAGCATTAATCAACAGTTATTTTTCTGTATATGCACTGCCATTTTGTAAATATGCATAAAATTATAGTTATGAATCCTATGTCACCTAGCGAAATTGTTAAGTATTGTGATGTGAATCTTTGCCATGAAAAACCACACTAAAATGTTTTGATATTTAATTCTTGATATGATTTGAAATCGGAACTAACTTTACTTGTACATACGTTCTAGGTGGATACCAGCTTTCTACGTAACAACTTTAAAAATACTAGATTTCAAATATTTCACGTATATCTATTGTAAATGTGCTTTACCTGTAGAAAACTGAAGAACAATACAATAAGACGGATAGAAGATGGCGCATTCGATCATACACCGAGTATTAGCGAATTGTGAGTTGAGACTACGTCAGGTTTTAGAGATGATTATAAATACATTTTCCAATGAAATTCCACCATAAAAGTTCCAATATCATAACAAATATTTGGGATACTATGTCGTCTTTACGTATCCCAGAGTGGATGTACACATTGCGTAAACACTGATGATGTATTTGTATTTTTGCTACAGATGGTTGTCAATGAACGACCTGACTGAAGTAAAAAGGAGTGTCTTTTTACCTTTGAAGAATCTTAAAACATTGTGAGTTTGTTAGTTATTCTGTGTGTGTTAAAATAGTCTAATTCAGACATGTTTATATGGAATGTGAACACTCACGTTTGGTAGAGAAATTATAAGAATTTGCAAAGTGCTTATTCGCTGTTACATATACTGTAAAAAAACTTTATTTTTGCTTGGAATTAATTTGCACTATTTTCGCTGAAGGAATGATTCAGTGAAAATAAAATCCAGCGATTATACTATTTTCCTAGATTTTACATTCAACTTGTCAAAAATCAGTAAAATTAAATTCCATACAAAAACACCCAAAAAGTCTTTTCAGCGAAATATAATTCCAGCCCAGCTAAAATAAAGTATTTTACAATAAGGCATAACATGTTTGAATGATATCAGTCGGAGCACATGTTCATTTTTAAATGAAAACGGCTGATCATGTTTGTTTTTTATAAAAAGGGATTTATCTTTCAATAAAATTGAAGAGTTCGAAGATGGAGCTCTGTCCAACTCTGTAATCCTGGCAATACTGTGAGTAGAATTCTACAATTTAGTCTGCCATTATGTACTAATTATGAGGGTTATTACAAGAATACCTAAAAGTATGCCCGAATACAGTTTAGCTGGGGTATCGACCGACGCGCATCATAGGAATGCCGAAATCCAAAAAGTTTAGAACAGAACTTCTTTGTGTGGAGTCCGGTCAAACCCCAATGGTAGCCATGTTTATTTTTATTATTAGAGGACGCTTATGCGTAATAATTCCATATTTGGAATTCGCATTTTCTCATATGGTGGGGTGAAATACCCCGTAAAATACCGCAAAATTACGGCACGCTGTAACTTATGGCGTTACGGTGACAGAGGTATAATAATATTTGTTATTAATCGGTTTTAGTATTACTCCTAGGCAAACGAGCACAATATGGTTGTCATGTGGAGTACGTATTGCACATATGTTTTATGCATTGTTCGTATCAGTTCTTAATGATGTCATAGTAAATACATGCACCTGAACAAATGACGTCACATTCGTACAATGATTAGGAATGCGTGCAATGATGTTATTATACATATGTTTACATCGTATGTACATTTCAGATTACTTGCTGGCAACAGATTACCATTTGTTCGCACTGGAATGTTTGCTAACCTGACGAAGGTTAGCAACCTGTAAGTATACAACCTTTGACCTTGCCAGGAATACTCCCTGGCTTTCATTTTTCTTGTTAGTTCTTATTAGATACATGAATAGAAATGCAATATTGACTTCGCTTGGGTGATTTTGCTGTCAATATTTGTGAGTTAAAATTCGCTGCGTTGTTTCTGTAGTTTGTGGTGAAAGTGAGGTTATGGTCACGAAAATATATGTAAATGTATGTAACAGCCGTCAGACTGCAAAATAACGAGCGGCGCTCACTTTAGTTGACGTAGTGGTTGTGGTAATCAAACTGCGACCATTTTGCTTTCTGTATATTTATGAATGTGTTATTGAAGGGTCGTTTTCTTTTTTTGTCATCCTATATTAAATTAATAGATGTTTCAGATTAAATCGATACGTTATTAAATTTTGAATTGGTTTTTTAGCCCTTTGTTCGACAATGAAATAGCTTGGTTTGATGCGGATTCTTTACAAGATATGGAATCTCTGAGAACACTGTAAGTAAAACTACGCAATATAGAGTTAAGTATCGAAAACATCACATGTGCTATCACGTGATATATTATCTTCACTATTGATCATCAAAATATAACAGTGTTACTATATTGACTATATTTAAAACATTTGACTGACAAGCAAAAATCGAAACATAATTTAGGCAATGTCAGTCAAGCTGCGAAGTTTCTTGCAATTTGCACGTGATGCACACGTGATGCACACGTGTCACTCGTACGGATAGATACAATCATAAACTATGGTTATCAACACATATGAAAAGACAACAAGATATCTCGTGACACTTCAACACATTCTAAATTTCTTTTATTTTCTCAACTATTTGTCAGTGATTTACAACACAATCCCGTACAACGACTGCCCATGGTGTTGTTTGATGATCTACCGTCTTTGGAATGGGTGTAAGTAACAATATCATGTACATACTTATTATAAAAAGTATCAGTTTCGTTTGGGGAATGTTTTTAATTGTGAGTTTTATATTAATACTAAATAGAACACAAATTTTAAATTGTCATGGGAAATGATATGATATGAATGTATTTAGTACAATGGCCTCAGGCCTATGGTACAATACATTAAAAATAGAAACATATATATAGAGGGAGTCCTTTAAATAATCATTGAAACTACTGGTTAAGTAAATGTTCTCCATGTTTAGAGACGTAGAATACAATTTTAGAAAGTAGAGGTACAGATAATTTGTCAAACTCCATTAAACGAAGAAATTTTTCATAAGTCTGATCTGACTGATAAAATAGAGGTAAATATGTTTTACTAGGATTTTCATAACGTCGTCATATAAGGCTAAAATGGTATTCATCCTCAACCAATCCTAAATTACATAATTTTCAGATTCTCACATTCCTCGGTATGTTTAATTTACGATCAGATTCGACCCGAAGGTTGTGGGATGATGTTATCATGGCACATTTAACTTACATTATAATATATATGAGAGAGTACCGCACTAGTGATTCGAAACTGGCGACCACGGAACCAAATCTTCTAGATCTTGGCTTCCACTCTGCCACAGGGCATCTTCCAAAACGGATGCTTAATAAACCAACTTATTCGACTGAGTACGTGTAACGCTGCAAGGCTAATTGAATGTACATGACATACAGGATGGTGATCAGAGCCCTCTTAAACTGGCAGTAGTACAACGTTAGATGGTGAAATAGGGAGAAGTGAGTAGCCGACAAACGATATGAATAGATGAGTGAAGGGAAACTCGATTAGCTCAATCATCTAATACATATTCTATATATTATCGTGTTTTTTTCTGATGCATAGCCCTTATATGCGTAGGCGCATAACTACTTTTATTTATAATGAATCATGCTAAAACTATTCGCATTGCCTCTATATAATATTTGAAAAATATTTATTATTCTGTCAAGGGAAATCAACTTAAACAATAATTGACAGTTGTGCCGCGGCGCGTATTTCACACGCGTTATATTCGTCACATGGGATCTATACCGAACACGACTTGTCCCGGCAATTTAAGTTTTAGCCAATATTGGTAGCCATCACTTAATAAATAAAATGTATCTATTATTATTTCAGCCATTTCGATCACTTCTGGATGTGTGGTTACGCCCCCACAGTTCGCCACTGCACCCCAAGAGGTGATGGAATCTCGTCAGTAGAAAACCTCCTTGACAACGTGGTATTGCGTGTTATGGTCTGGGTGGTTGCTATGCTAGCTTTTGTTGGCAATTTATTTGTGCTGGTCGCTCGGTGTATCCTGAAGGAGGACAACCGTATTCATTCATTTTTTATAATGAATCTGTCACTTGCTGATCTTCTCATGGGGCTCTATCTCTTCATTATCGCTTTGCATGACGTCATGTATCGAGGTGAATACATCAAATTCGATCTTGAATGGCGACTTGGATGGGTTTGTCAGATGTGCGGATTTTTAAGTCTTGTCTCCAGTGAGGCCTCAGTGCTAACTCTCGCAATTATCACAATGGATCGCTTCATCTGCATTGTTTACCCGTTCAAGTTCAAAAACCGAAACATGAAGATTGCTGTATTCGCAATGCTGCTGATATGGATCAGTTGCGTTATTATAGCAACATTGCCTCTCATTGACGCCATCACCTACTTCGGTGACTTCTTCTACGGAGGCAATGGTGTGTGTTTACCACTGCACATAGACGACCCCAAGGCAGACGGATGGGAGTATTCCTTGGTCATATTTGTCTTGGTTAACTTCATGGCTTTTCTGTTCATCGTATTCGCATATATGGCAATGTTTACGAGTATCAAGAAGTCAAGGAGCAACATCCGTTCTACTAAAGAGAATCAAGATTTACTCCTTGTCAAAAGATTTACTTTAATTGTGGCCACAGATTTCATATGCTGGATGCCCATAATTATTATAAAATTTGCGGCTTTAGCAGGTAATACGTTCTTTTATTGACATTCGTTAGGGCGAATTATTAAAACTGAAACACAACGTCAGTTACAACATATCTGTTGCTGGTCCTGAGATGTAAAAAACATTGTGCGCCTTTATGATTTTTATTTTTTTGTTATTGCCTTTTTATTTAAATTTTACAACATTTTGAAAACTGACCACAAATGACTTACTTAAACTGAAATGCTGCTTTTGCGACACAGTGTATTGTATTCGTTCGTTGGAAAATGAGAAAAATCGTGGGAGGGGGTCGAAAGTCATATAAATAAAACAAAAGATTTGCATGACATTCGAATAATGCATGAATAATTGTGACTCTCCCTGTGCCTGACATTATTGGGTTTAATGATTACGACATGGGATTATTAACCGTATCTTCAACTAACGACATGCACTCGTAATTAAGTGTCCATGACAAAACATTAAAACTAATGTATATTACTAATCACATCGCTTTAACTCATATAACCTAGAAAACCTTGTGAATGGTCGTCATTGTGTTTTAGATCACGGTGTACAATTTTTGTTGAATTGCAATATTAATTGTAACACGAACCACATACAATAATAGTATTTTAACATGAGTATTCATCGAGATTACAAATACTGTCTTCATTGGGTTGTCCGTTATTAAGTTCAATTAATACGTGGCTAAAATAAATTTCATAGAAAAAAACAACTCAAACTTCCCCAATTCTACTCTATTCTGATGGCACTATTTCGACACTGACGTTCTAGTTCAAAGCCATGTCTTAAATTCACATTTACATTAAAAGACAATGATCGACGACCACCGCCCTTTAATTATTGCATGCTAGACATTATCGTTAGAAATGATAACTCAGCACTTGCGAAAGGACAGATTAACCTCTTTAACGTAATTTCCAAATTATTCGAAGTCATTTTTCAAAACAACTCTGTAGATCATTATCTATATCTAGTTATGCTCTTTATACGTCAATTCTAATAATCATTGATTTCTACAATTTCTAGGGGCTCAAATCAGTGGTGGAGTTTACGCTTGGGTGGCTGTATTTATCCTGCCTGTAAACAGCGCCCTCAATCCAATCCTGTACACCATGACAACAAAAATGTTTAAACAGAAATTTATGAAATTACTTGGTATCAGTAATAAGAAGAAGAATGCTGGCGATGAATCTTACTCTGCCAGTAAAACCACGGGAACGAGGCTGTCATCAGTTGCCAGCAGCCGCAATAGAATTAGTCTCAACGGAAATATTAAGGTTAGTTAGTTAGTTACGTTAGACGACGTAGAGGGCGCAATCAAATATAACTAATGTTTCTGAATTAATGTACTAGTAGCTGCAACGTTTACTTTTTGCTTATTGGTCAGATTGCACACGTGACCTCATTTCACAACGATCTTGGTGTTTTTTGGCATGCTAAGTCACCGTTAATATATCACGCGATCGCCTACTTTTTTCAAATTCCTAACTTTTTTCACATTTTTACCGTATTTTGCAAATCGTCTTTATTGCCAGTATTTGAATGATTTTTCAACAGATACTAACGTGTTTTGTATTTATCTCTTTTTTGTGAACCCAATCAACTTTTTCCCTACCTATTTTTGTCTTGTGTTTTTAATTGGTGTTTATGTTTTTGTCTTTTCCGTATGAACTGATATTTTGACCTCAATTTGACCTCAATTCCTATTGATTATACAAGGATGGCACAGTGGGTAAGTCAGTTAAGATGATGTACCACATGGAGGAAACCAGTCCTCCGACCAATAATTTTCAAACCTCCCGTCACGCTTCAACTTACGATTGTGTTCATACGTATATCGTGGGATGTTACAAGTTGACAGAAAGCTATGAACAACTTGCAACATACTACAAGGAATAAAGCATGTCTCTATTTCAATCAATAAGTTGCAACGTGTTGACGGCAGTCTGTCAACATGCAACATAGCATGCTGCACGGATCAGTTGTTGTTGGCAATAACAGTTGACCCGCTTTTCGTAGCCTTTACAATCATAACACCAGTGTGCTAGGTAGCCCTAATAACGACCTCGTTCAGTAACATGCTGCGTCCTAATACACCCCAGGCACATGTTAATTTGCAGGGTTTCGAACATTACAGTGACAAGTGTTATGTGCATTAACTTCGTACGTGAATTCGGCACAGTGATTTGACCGCGTGTGCCAGATTTGAAATGCTTTGCTTGTTTGACCAAATGTCAATAGAACAAGACTGGATGCGGGACTCGGATACAAGTGCACATACCAAATAAAATTACATACACAAAACAGACAGAGCAAGTAGCATGGCTAATCTAGGGTAAGAAATTACGATAGCAAGATCAAGAAAATAAAGCATACAGAAGCTAGCAGATGCAGGAACGGCGATGTGACACTGTTGAAAAATAAAAGCTAATAGCTCATGTCTCAGCTAAACTGGCACATGCATCTTTTTTTTCTACAAGTTAGTTAAGGCTGTATGGTATTTGAAATCATGGGTGTGGCTGGAAGATCTGTTTAAAACAAAAAAATGCATGCAAGGTGATGCAGGAAAAATGTTGGCACATTCAAGAAAAAGACAAATGTACACACAAGACACCGCGAAAAAACATCGCACTGGTCACACTCTATCAGCCACCCCGATTGAATTCAAATGTTTTACACTATATCCAAATATAAACATGTTGTCGTGGGATGTATTAGGCCCCGGAGTATTAGGCCGCAGCCAATAAAGCTACCTACATATCATCAGTGTACATATCATCGTGGACACCACCATGTTGTGAATCATCTTAACGTGTTGTGATGGTATTTCGTGTGTTTAACTCTAACAGACATAATATACTCATACGTGTAGCTTTATTTTGTTTTTCAGCTAACGATTGTTCTATACTATACTATACTATTATATTTTATTTTATTTTATTTTATTTTATTTTATTTTATTTTATTTTATTTTATTTTATTTTATTTTATTTTATTTTGTTTTATTTTATTTTATTTTATTTTATTTTATTTTATTTTATTTTATTTTATTTTATTTTATTTTATTTTATTCTATTCTATTCTATTCTATTCTATTCTATTCTATTCTATTCTATTCTATTCTATTCTATTCTATTCTAGTCTATTCTAGTCTAGTCTAGTCTAGTCTAGTCTAGTCTAGTCTAGTCTAGTCTAGTCAAGTCTAGTCTAGTCTAGTCTCGTCTCGTCTAGTCTAGTCTAGTTTAAAAGTTGTGTATACGAATCGAATAAACAAATTCAGTACCTTTTCGCAATGGAAGAATCACCGCTGCCTGATTTAATCAATTTAACCGTGAACTACATACTATATATTAATATTGTCTGTTATATTTGTCATTATATAGATTTATCTGCATGTTGCATGTCTATTCCTAACAACGTATGTGATAACGCATGGTTTAAATAGCCGTATTTTTTTATCTATCGCACAGTCATAACCCCCCCCCCCCGTCATAAAGTGACAATTATCTAATTTGCAGTTGGTTTGCCTAAACTCGTGTTAAGAAAGCGAGAAAGAATATTCATAATTAAGAAACATATGATTAATTAAACCTGGTAGCAATGTACGCATGGCGTGTGTCGTCAAGATATTTGTCCGATGTACATTTGCTGAAATTCTTCTTCAAAATTGTCTATATATTTGCGCATAATTAACAATTTTCGAAATGTTGTAACCAACAAGAAGTTAACATAATATGCACACCTCGATGTTCACGCTTTGACGATTTGCGGAACAAGATATGGCTGTTTGAACACCTAGCATAAATATCGACAGAGGGCGCTTTAATTTTGAACGAACTTTTAGGTTTCAAGGAAAATATATTCAAACTGATATATGCTTCGGTCAATGTGTGGCTAAATACCAGTTGAGTATGTGGTCAGCATATTGTAGTAGTATTAGACCGTTGATTCACAGATTACAAGACGCGTAATTTTTAAATCTAGGGTGTTTATGAGACCAATTATATTACGTTTTTTTCATGACTGCAAAGATGTGTCGATCACATTTAGGAAAACATTGACTGGGATACAATTGCACTTGTCTTGATTTGATATTTCACAATAATTGATCTTATTCACATTTCTAGATGTATTTTAAGCATCCTTACAAGATCGAATCACATTCATTTGAATTCTATCCCTACGCACGTATTTCAGTGAGATCATATTTATATCATCTTTAAATACGCTATATGCCATACCAGATTGCCATTACCTTTAATGCCATTGCCGTAATGTGATGCTGATTGATTCACAGATGAGGATACCGCAGAAACAAACGAATTGCATACGTACAATAACGAAGGGGCCGAACTATCCAGTGAATCGATCCGTGTTGCCATCAAGGAGTAACGATTACACGGAATTGAACAGAATGATGTTACCACCAATGCAGCGAACAGAGACGAAATACCTTTGATATGGTTACAAATATATCTACTATTATATAATCCATTATTACAGATACTTACATGTTAATTTTATACAGAAACGTAGTAGTGTATTGCTCGTGGAATGGGTGACATCACCAGGTGATTTTTATGTTTTTAAAGAAGATTGGACTCGACGAGTACAATTTACATGACATTTGACAGATTTGTACATTGATATATCTGTATTTCTGTTTTTAATTTAGTATATTTACCGCAATATGACGGCGCGTTGTTGTAGCAGAGTATACAATACATCGCATCAAACCATTGTCATGGCGACGTTGATCACCATATCACATCATTGACTTAAAATGAACTAATTACATATTTATTTATTTATTCACGCTTTTAATGACGCTAACACTAATGACGCTAATGTACTTTTTGGCAAACACAAATCTCGCGTTCATGTTATCGCATTTATAGCATTTTGGGTTAGTAATTACAAGCGGATATTTTCAATTTGTGCCTTTGCTTCTAAGAGCAAGGCCAATTTAGATTACCAAATGCTACTGTTTCAACGACAAGACGTGAATTCTGTGAGCACTATCACAGATTGTTTCAACCGATCGTATCTGCCTGTTTGTATTCAATAATGCGGTCTTTATATACACTTATAATTATTACGTTTATATATCACAGTTATATGATACCCACGTGCACGATTTCCCAGTCAGTGCAATATTAATATGAAACTAAATACTAATTATGCCAGTGGACTCGGGTAGATTATCGTAGCCTTAGTTCGATTTGTGTAAATATTAGTATACCACATGCATACCGATCATAGGCAGTCGCTACTCCCTTTACACCGCATGCGCAATGGTTGTTTTGGTACGTACAATAACAATCACTGCACATGCGTATTAGTGGATTTGATTTTTTAAACGAATAGTGTTATGTGTCCTGCAAACGCAACATTTTAGTTTATGATAAATCATAGTCCGATTTGTTTAGAGTTCTACAGAGTATTATTAAAAAAAATATGTTTTCGTCCATATTGCACTTTTAACACCAGAGCACCGCGGCCAACAGTGTTATAATGATGTATAATGCACTATAATCTGTTATTACGTATTGTACTTAAACAATTTACGACTATTACTGATTACTATTCAGTATGTGTACCCCACTGCCACATCCCACTAATCTCTGAATCATTTACAAACAAAGTATATATCTATGTTTTCTGTTATAACCTTTTTGTAACCAGTATAAATACTATATGCCATCGGTGAAGACGGTATAGACTCAATTGTTGGGTATGCGTATATGTATTAGATAATATATTCAGGATTTTATTTTGTTGAAGTGGTCGTACAATTTCTTAGGTTTTCGTAAAATCACTACACTACTCAAATATTTTTATATAGCATGTTTTCCCACTACTAATAAAGTATGTGTAATGTTTATGGACATTCTTCGTAATTTACCTGATTAATCAAAGTGCCTTGCAAGCTTGATAGAGATATTTCTGTAATGCCAATTCCACGAGTATGAAATGTACAGTATTATGAAGTATAGTGAACCAAAGCAAACACTGTAATATACAATCAATGCGTTCCTGCCAAAAAAGTTCAATCTGGTGTTTTTTCTTAGTTAAATAATTTTATCCGAGATTTAAATGTTTATATTGTTATTATATATTTACCATAGTTGTCTTACACTTACATATCTTCGTCTGGCGACGTTTGAAATAAAATATACAGGGACTGTTGCACAATACGGGTGTCGAATTGTCATGGAAAATAACATGTTTAAATATATATTCATTTTATAAAAAATCATCTTTGTAAGGCTTTGCCTTGAATAATTTGACAAAATGATAGTTCGGCTGATAGTTTTATTTGTTTCGTTCATGTGACAACTTTCACTTCACTTCGGTCTTAATAAGCATATTCGCGTATTGATATTTTAATATTTATATATTTGTATAATTAACGATTGTTTTAGTGTGTGTCGTTCGTGACAGCTATATAAGTTGTGATCACCATCGTTTTCCATCAATAAAATAATAAAAAAAATCACTGAAAATTGTTACTGTTGGGTTTTCTTTCTTGTTATTTTGTATGATTGTATTGTTTACTAACATTATGGCAAACTTTACCTCAAGAAGATGGAAAAGATATCAGTAAGGTGAATCAGTCATTTGTCTAATTAAATTTGAACTCCGGAATTCTTGATTTACGTAATGCAGGATTGGGGTCAGGCCCGTCGAAAACAACAATTATATATTTGATGTGAAATGTGTGAATTTTATAATATTCAAAAAGTGTGTTTGAGCTCTGTTACAGACATTTTTATATTATCGGTTTTAAATTAAATTTTATTGGTAAGATATTTCACATAACATCTTTGAACTATTTTACCATTTTAGAGAAGGGTCCTGAGCCATTCCTCACCTACAGACAAACACATCCACACCATTGATCCACTACGGCAAAATGTTGTACACAAAAATGACAAGACTGTACGTATCTTAGCATTATTGTCCATGTATTTTATTTTACAAGGCTACTTACGAGTTTTTCCGCTCTTCGCAGATGTTAGCGCACATAAAAGTGACACGATTTCATGTCGAAATCTGTCTAAAATTATTCGTTTTAGTATTAGTCAATTTTGTATTATGTAATTTTATTTCTGTACAGGGCCTCAGCCTATCGTACAAAATGTAATGGGTAGAAAAGTGCATAGCACGTTTTAAACACAATACAACATCCATGTAAACATATGGTACTAAGTTAAGCTGAATTCATATTCATCTCGTCGCTTGAAAACTTTTAAAAGATATAGAGCTATTTGTTAT